TTATTTTTTACCCAAACCAGTTAGGGTAAACAATGTTATTCCTAACAAACAATTCCTCAAAGTTCCATTTTATTAGAGTTGTCCTATCAGCACATCTGGGAAAACCATCTTGAGAGTTCTGGGTTTTCCCTTCCCCAAAGAGAAACCAAAGGTCCATTCTCTGTACCCACCAGTCCATCCCATGGCCCAATCAAATATCCCAATTGGAGACATCCCTCCGGTCACTCCCAAGAGCAAATGTCCTTGACTCTCTGAGAAAGAATGTTGTTGAGTCTAATCTTCCAGCTCTCTATGAAATCCCCCCTCCCAAATTCCCAGGCACTGAATGTGGCAGCCTCAAAACTTCCAAGTAAAATGTGGCTTCCAAGGCTGACAAGACCCATCTCTCAAAAGTCCTCAGTGGGAGTTTAAAAAAAAACCCATCAAAGCATTAAATTATTTCTGCAGGACTAGCATTGGCTGATTTATTCAAGAGGCCAGCAACTTCATTTGCAGGTCCAGGAACTCTTGCCCTGCCCTTTGCTGGGGAGCCATGCATGATACACCCTGCTTGGTGGCAGCATCCTACAAGATGGCTCCTTTGAAACAGAATAAAACCAAACCGGACAATCAGCAAACCAAGGCCAAACCAAGGCCCAAAGGCTCTCCTCCGATAGAGGGTGGGGGGCAGCCCGCCAGGGCTCCCCTGGGAAGCCATTCCAAAGAGCCTGCACAGCCACTGGGGACTAGAACCATGCCTCGGCCTCCTTAAAGCGGGGAGGGAGGGAAGGTCGTTCTCCTGAGGAGAGTCCACCCAAGGCAGGCTTCTGCAGCCCACTAAGGGGGCAAGTCACGCAGGGGTGCTTTCCATCAGGGGGATGATGGGTCCTGCTTTCCACCTGCGGTGCAGGTCGCATCATCCCACCCTCATCCAGTAGTGAGTAGTGGGAATGAGGATTCTGTTTCATTTGTGGGCCTGGTTTCTTCTTGTTTCTTATCTTTCTTGCCAACTGCCAAGAACCGTTTATGGTGGTGGTGATGTCCCAAAGGTGCTTTTTTTCAGGAGGCAAGACTGTTTGCTTCTCATCTAAGAAGCTTCTTCCTGTCAGAGCTGCTTCTTGGATGAGAAGCGAAACATCTTCAAAGAAAAACAAGGGAGTCCACTTGCCTCCTGAAAAAAAGCACCTTTGGGACAACCAGGACCCGGAGGACTGGGAATCTCTACAGGCTTTTGATGATGATTGCAAGTAGTTACCTGGCTTTAGAGGAGTCTGAAATAACGGGTCAGCCCTCCTCCACTCAACTACACCACTTGTTTGGGTTCAAGCAACACTGTTACTTAATAAACATCGCGCTCTTCTTTTGCCCCAATGCACTGAAAGTAGGACCATGGTTTTTACAAAGCCCTGAAGAGCCTGCCAAGACAAGCTGCCTGCACAGGTTGTGCACTGTATGAACCAGCCCATGTGACTCTGTGCCTCAGACTCCTAACCCACCCATTGGTGTAAGCGCATCATACGATATGCGTAAAGCAAAGGAGAGCCAGGTATTGCTTCCCTAGCCTGGTTGAAGTGTATGTCTCATCCAAATGGCATTGCGCACACAGGCCGTACTGCCCAATGGACATAGTGTGCGCCTAGCGCTCAGGATTGCATCACTGCAGTGAGCGGTCCTCCTACAGTCACTGGAAAGAATCTAGAACTGAGGCACGCGCTCCTGGTTGAAGTCAGCAAGAGTGGACCTACACACCAACCAGCTGCCCACTAGCTGCGGTTCTCGTGTGGCCACAGATCTACGACAGCAAAGCCATGAGCTGCAATCAGAACCTCCTGCGCCCCAGGAGACATAACGAATGGTGAGGCAGGGGTGGTGCAAAGCACAGGGAAAGAAACACAGATTTTAAAGACAGCAACAGTGAAACAAAAGACGTAAGAATTTTTCATATTTATTCTGAAGGCCAACATTTACAACTTTAAATATGATAAACAAAACTTCTGAGAGCCACCATGATTCCGAACTGCAAAGGGGGTGGCTTGCCAGGCGTGTCCATCTCGATCGCTTCGTCCAGCTCTCGGAACAACAAAACGGGGAATACCTGAGAGCAAGGCAGGAAGAGAGTATCTAGCTTGCAGAGGATCACCTGGAAGGAATCAAAACGCCCTCAGGAGCAGCCAGTTCCTGTTGGCTCCACCAGGCAAGGAAAGATCACACTTGAAGACAAACACGCCCTAGGATTGCAAGATCAAATCTGGGTCGGTCACGGGAGCAGAGATTTACTCTTCCCAGCTTTCGGATTTGTGCTGGAGCCCATCTTCAGGGGACCTCTCTACTGGAATAGGTGCTCACAGAATAGCCCAAAGCACAAATTCCAGTAGGCTCAGATTGGATTTTGCAATGAAAGATCACTTGCACCCCCATTTCAATCCAGAAGAGCAAAGGCGCCCAACAAGAGGTCCAGGGAATCAAACCCAATGCATCCGAATCATTGCCTGGCTCTCAATGCCTGGGGGAGGCCTGACCAGCTAGCTGAACCCTGCCCAGATAGACCCAGTGTGCAATTGTGGGGCCATCTTGGATTAACAGCTCCTGCTAGAAGGCATTATCTCCTCCCCACCAGCCAACATTCCTTGGCTAATGGGACCCTCAGCTTCCCCATCCTGCTGGACTGAATTGAACAGGTAGAAAGGACTGGGATAAGATGGTCCCTCAGATAACCTGGGCCCAAAGCCATGGACACCTTTAAAGGTGACCATTTGGTTCCTTGGAAAAGCTTCCATGGCTTAATACATGGCCCTTGAATTGCACCTGGAAACACACTGGCAGCCAATGCAGCTTGTGAAGCAGTGGTTACGTGTGTTGAATATCCAAAATCATTTACTATCCCTGCAGCTGCCTTCGGTACCGGTTGAAGCTTCCCAGTGCTCTTCAAGGGCAGCCCCATGTAGAGCACATTGCAGTAACCCAGCCCGAAGGGCACAAGTGACTGAGCAGAGCCTCCCAGTCCAGGAACAGGTACAGCTGATGCACAACCTGAAGGTGTGCAAAGGCCCTCCTGGCCATGGCTGGCACCCTCCTCTTCTCTGCTGTAGCCCCTTCCCTCTGGACCATGCTCCTTCCTTCCAGGGATCAGGAGGAGCCCAACCCTGTTGGCCTTTCATAAGGTTTTAAAAACCTGGCTATGTGCCCCAGGCCTGGGGTTCCATATAGATATATATAGAGAGAGAATTTAGTTCCTTGGCTATCTTGCAATTATGATACTTTTCTCAGCTACTATATGCATTTCTATACTGTTTTTAAATGTTTTGTTTTAGAATTGTTCTCTATCCATAATCACTTGGTACAGTGTACAGCAGCTACAGAAATTAAAAGAAATAATTTGTCTGTGATCATCAAGTTGCCTTTTTGAACACAAAAGCAAGCCGACAAAAGCTGCAGGACATGCTGCTTCCTCCCCCATTATTCTGCCGTGATGAACGGAGGGAGGCACCCCCATCCCAGCAATCATCAGCCAAAGCCAGAATATTTTCTGCCTCATCCAACACACGATATTTTTGCTTGCAAAAGGCACACCCCCCTATTCTGCCCTGGTAAACATCTGCCTTGTAATTGCTCTGGGCCAGGCTGCCTGCAGCTCTGCTTCTGCAGTTTTGCAGGAGTTCTCAGCCATTTCCAATTTGATTTCCTGCAGTTCACACTAGCATGCCACAATCCACCCCACAAATGCCCTGGACACAGAGGCTTCAACCAAACTTTGATTCGTGTAAGCACTAGTTTTCATCTTTCTGATATGCTGCCAAGCGTTCAAGAAGAAAAAACAGGTTTAACAGTCCAAGCCTCTTTGCTTTCCTGCCCCTACTGCTGGTGCTGCTGCTTGCTCCCCGCTTCCCACCAAATTTCCCAATATATCATCACAGAATCATTAAATGTAAACTTGGAAAGGATGCTAGAGATCATCTAGTCTAACCTCCACTCACTGCAGGAATCCCTTCTCACACTCTGTCCGAGGAGGCTGGCCAGCAAGCGGCTTTGCTCCCAATCCAAATTCTCTCTCTTCCCAGCCAGCAACCCACCTTCCTAGACTGAAATGCAGGCCAAACCCACCACAAATAAGGCTCCCACAACGGGACCTGCTCCCCGTTTCAATCCCTTCTTGTAGACTTTGCCGCACAAGAGCAGCGCAAAAGGAGGCCCACTTACTCCACTTGAGAGGCTCATTCGTACACGTCTTGCACATCGGCAATATAATCCATGATATCTTGAGGACTCATCAGCTTCTCTGCTGCCGCATCTGGAATTTCAAACCCTGGAAAAGAATTGGCTCCTTGAGTTCAGAGGTGCCAACATTTCAGCCAACGAGACCAGAAGCCACAATCTTGGCCTGAAGGCTCCAGCCCTCTGCCCAGCAACCCCCCTGCAGGGTGCAAGGCCAACTCCATGGCCTCAGGGAGAGAGGTCAGCCCGTCTCTTGGTCCGGAGAAAACGGCAGAACTCAAAAGCCCAAACCCAGTCAGGTCCCACAGCACTGCCATTCTGGTGGGAAGGGGGGGGGGGGGGCCTGGAGGAATTCCTCAGTTTATAACCTTTTTCCTGGTGAATATCTACCCTGTACTTCGATTTACCTTCCTGGGAACCTGAGGGGGGAGGCCCATCGGTTTTGTCTCAGAACCTGGGAACAGCTTATCACCACCTTCTCAGCCTGCGATTCTCAAAACTACTTCCCACCTGTGGCTTGGCCTATTCAACGACCGAGGTTTCTAACTGCTTTAACCTAATGGAATTGCCAGGAATCTTTCAGATCCTGCTTTCTTTGTCTTGCTATCACTTTCCTCTCCATAAAAGTTTCCTTTTGAAACGCTAAGTGCTCCACTTTCTTGAGCGGAGAGGAGAGGCAGGGCCTGACACCCACACCAAGCAACAGGGTGTCTCGTGCACACCCCAGATCTTCTGGCACAAAGCTGAATGCAGCCTGCACCCCGTTTTTCTATACCTGGGCAATTGGTCCCATCAACAAAGTAAGAAAAACAGTGAGCAGGACAGACACAGAAGAAGTCTGGAGCCCCGGCCAGTCGGCATTTGGAAGCCCCTTCCTGGGCAGAGACCCGGGGGGCTGCCCAGGCCATTCCCAAGGCGGGGAGCTCACCACGGATAGAAAGACATTACAGAGGGTGGTGAGCACAGCACAAAACATCGTGGGCTGTCCCCTGACACCACTAGATGACCTCGCTAAGGCTCGCTGCCTTAGAAGAGCGAGGAAAATCCTCAGGGACGACTCACACCCTGGTCAGCCCTTCTTCACTCTCCTACCATCGGGAAGGAGATACAGAAGCACAGGCAGCTGCACAAAGAGGCTGGAGAACAGTTTCTACCTGTGGCTGCCAGACTCCTGAAAGGAAAATAAATAACCTTAAAACAACATAGTATGAATGACTTGCGGGGCTGGCGCCACATGCAATAAGTTCACACAGCGCAAGAGGACTGTGTGTTCGTTAGGAGGATTCCCTGGGTTAGGAGTTTTCTGTCTTCACTGTGACTTGGGTTGTGGGGGAGGCGGTGCACGGAGGGAGGCTCAGCCAGCCTCATTGCACACATGTTGTACTCTGACCACGAAGGTTTGGTTTTTGCATGTGAAGTTCAAACAGGGCGAGCCTCCAAATCCTGCCTCCCGATCAACCCTCCAGGCGCTGCTGGGAAGCGGACGCAGCCATGACCTTCGCCGGCTCCGCCGAGACTCACAGGAGGCGACCCGGGAAGGTTCCCCAGCCAGGAAAGGAGGAAGGGGGGTGGTGGCGAAGCGGGGGGGCAGCAGAGCCCCCCCCCCAGCAGGCCTTACCGAACTCGTCTTCCATGGCCATGATGATCTCCACTTGGTCCAGGCTGTCCAGGCCCAGGTCCTTCATGAAGTGCGCCTCCACCGTCAGCTGCAGGGGCGACCACCGGGCGGGTCAGAGGGGGGGGCCGGACTCCCTCCCTCCCCCAGACCCGTGCCCCCCCCCCGGCGCCCCCTCCCCACCTTCTCGGGGTCGATCTTGTCGTAGAGCTTCAGCACGTAGAGCACCTGGTCGTGGATGCTCTTCAAGGTCAGCGTCGGTGCGTCCGAGTAGCCCCGGACCCACGGAGGCCGCCGTCGCCGGGCTGGAGCGGGCAGCTGCTGCACCCCGGCCCAGGCCGCCCCCGCCAGGCCCCGCCTGACTCCCGGCCCCGGCGCGCCCAGCGGGAGGACGAGCAGGCGGCGGCGCTGGCCAAGGAGGCCGGCTGCGGCGCGGAGCAGCACACGCGCCGCCATCTTTACCCTGTGCGCATGCGCCCTCTGCGCCGTGGGGGGGGGCGGGGCTCCTCCCGGCAGGCCTCGCGGCGGTCCCCCCTCCCTCGGCGGGGAACCTCGTCACGTGTGAATCCGGTGCCAGCAGCCACACGCGTGCATAAAACCGCGGAGTAAAGCCAGCCGGCCGGCCGGCCGCAACTGTTGCAAGGTCAGCTACTATGTTGCAGTTTCTGCCCGCTCAGAGCCCGCTGCGGGGAGGGCTCGCCCGGCCGAGTGGCTTCTCTCTTGCGCCCCGTTTTGGATGCGGATGCAGCCTTTGCGTCGGAAACCGATACAAGAATCCTCGGATGGCAGAACCCGATGGGTCCCGAGAGACCCCCAAGACAAAGTCATTGTCCCTCCAGCCGCCTGTGGGAAGCCCCCCCCCCC